TATATACTTCTGTGGAGCAGAACTATCGTGCATAATTTACTAATTTGACACAATATTCAAAATTCCTATTTCATTTCTCACAGACTAAGCTCACGTATATTCAGCATTTTTATATGCTAAGCCCCAACTCTTAATAATATACATTTTATTATAAATATTATACTATGTCTTGATATTATATCATTCCGATGATTCTCAAACATATGCTTTCATATTAAATAAAGACTAACTAATACATAGTAAGCGATCTGTCATCAAATGCCCTCTGCCCCTCAAATGTCAAAGCCATAAATTGTGCAATGTCGAGAAAGAGGCAGCTGGAGCCAATCAGATTTTCTGCAGTTGCTAATGCGAGCGAATAAATTAAGGTTTCCAATTATCATAAAAGGCAATGATTCTCTCTGGGGGCAACAGTCGGAGTCGGAGCTCCAACTGGTACACCTAGTTAGCTATGAATACTTTTACTTTAGCAGTCATGTTGGTCGTAGCCTCCACAGCAGCGGGCTCATACGCAGCGCTTCTCATCGAGCTGCCAAATGGGGAGCTACGTGGTCGCGACAACGGCATTTACTACAGCTACGAGTCGATACCCTACGCACAGCCGCCCATCAACGACTTGCGCTTGGAGGATCCAGTTCCATATACCGAGCGATGGGAGCAGACCTTTGATGCCAGCAAGCCGCCGACCGAATGTCTGCAATGGAGCCAGGTTATCAGAGTGCCCGATAAACTGACGGGCAGCGAAGACTGCCTGACCGTCAGTGTCTACAAGCCCAAGAAACCCAGTCGCATCGCTCTTCCGGTCGTGGCGAATATATTTGGGGGAGCGTGGACTTTCGGTAGTTCGCTCGATGACGGAGTTGAGACCTTCATGTCTAGAGGCAATGTAATTGTGGTGAAGATCAACTATAGAGTGGGTCCGCTTGGCTTTCTGAGCACCGGCGACAACGTACTTCCTGGAAATTACGGCCTCAAGGATCAGCGTCTCGCGATACAATGGATCAAGCAGAATATCGATCGGTTCGGCGGGGATCCAGAGAACATAATTCTTCTTGGTTTCGGCACAGGCGGCTCGTCAGTCCATCTACAGCTAATGCACAAGGATATGGAGAAGTTAGTCAAGGGCGGCATCTCCATTAGTGGAACAGCCACATCTCCCTTTGCTGTGCAGTCCAGTGGGCAAGAGCTGGCATTCCAATATGCCAAAAAGTTGGGCTGTGCCAAGCTCAAATCGTCAATTAAACTGAAGGAGTGCCTGAAGAAAATGCCAGCCGACAATTTAGTTAGGGGTATAAAATATCTGCAAGTCTTTGAATATGTAAATTTTGGCGCATTTAGTCCAGTCATCGAGTCCTCCGATTCGGAAAAGCCTTTCCTCACCGAATTTCCAATCGAGACCATCAGGAGTGGAAGATCTGCCCATGTGCCATGGTTGGCCAGCTACACCACGGAGAATGGCATATACAACGCCGCCCTCTTGCTAAAAAGGAGTTCCAATGGTAGAGCGAAAATAGAGGAGCTCAAGTCTCGCTGGAATGAATTGGCCCCATACTTCTTTTCATATCCTTACTTTTGGAAACGATCTGAGAGGGATAATCATTCCCGGAAACTTAAGCAGCAGTACCTCGGCTACAGGAACTTCAGTGTGGAGAACTATTTCGACGTGCAGCGCATGTTCACAAATGAGCTATATAAGAATGGCGTTGAGGCGGCATTAGACGCACATCGAAAGTATGGCAACAGTCCCGTCTATGCTTATGTGTACGACAACCCTGCTCAAAAATCCTTCGCACAGTTACTGTCGAGGCAGAAAAATCTATTCTTGGGTAAGTCTCATATGCAATGTCCAAAGCAAATAACCCATAATTTCCATCCACAGGCACGGGCATGGGCGACGATTACTATTTAATGTTCAGCAATCCATTGCGCAATCCTCTGAGAGTTGACGAGAAAATTTCCTCAGTCAGGCTAGTCAAGATGGTGGAGCAGTTTGCCCAAGCCGGCAACTTTTCCTATGAGAACTGCGTGTTTCCAGACAACCGAGGCAAGAGGCACTTCCAGCTATTGGCCATCAAGCGCACCTACTGCAAAGTTATGGAAGTGAAGTATTTACCTGATATAGTCTCCAAAAACCTACCGCGATCCCCATTAATCTCGTATTAAACACTTCTGCAATTCCAGAACTGTTTCTATTATTTATCGCCATGAAAATATTGTATATATGTTTAAGGAAAAAGTCGAATCTTAAGTAATGCGATTTGAAAGCAGCGTATAAGGCAGCCGCTCGTAAACGAAGTGCCAGGGCCTTTGCCCTAGATTGGACCAGAGAACAGGTGTCAAAAATATTTGTCATTTATTCGCTTTGCGCTTTTTAAAACCATTAAGTCATTGGAACGAATCCGACTTCGCGCTGCTACCCATGTGCTAATAAATAGGCATTGATACACTTTTGCTAAAACAGTTGAACCTGGAGCACACCATGAACACATTCGCCTTTGCAGTCGTCTTGCTCTCGGCATGCTCACTATCTGCCTCAAGTGATCCGCTCCTCATCGAGCTGCCAAATGGGGAGCTACGTGGTCGCGACAACGGCATTTACTACAGCTACGAGTCGATACCCTACGCACAGCCGCCCATCAACGACTTGCGCCTGGAGGATCCACTCCCATATACTGAAAAATGGGTGGAAACCTTTGATGCCACCACGCCGGCAACTGAGTGTCTGCAATGGAGCCAATGGATCCAGCAGCCAGACAAATTGACGGGCAGCGAAGACTGTCTGACCATCAGCATTTTCAAGCCCAAGAACGCTACTCGACAGAGTTTTCCGGTCGTCGCAAGTATTTTCGGGGGAGCGTGGTCCTTCGGCAGCTCACTTGATGACGGTCCTGAGCACTTCATGGACAGCGGCAATGTAATTGTGGTGAAGATCAACTATAGAGTGGGTCCGCTTGGCTTTCTGAGCACCGGCGACAACGTACTTCCTGGAAATTACGGCCTCAAGGATCAGCGTCTCGCGATACAATGGATCAAGCAGAATATCGATCGATTCGGCGGGGATCCAGAGAACATAATTCTTCTTGGTTTCGGTGCAGGAGGCGCAGCAGTGCATCTACAGCTAATGCACAAGGATATGGAGACGTTTGTAAAGGGCGCCATCTCCATTAGTGGAGCAGCCACATCTCCGTTTGCTGTGCAAAGTAGTGGACGCGAGGACGCTTTTCGGTTTGGTAAAGTTCTGGGCTGTAAAAGAATCAAGTCTTCGTTTGCACTGAAGGAATGTTTCAAGAAAACAATGGGCCACGAAATCGTTAGTTCCGTTAAGAAATTGCAAGTCTTTGACTTTATACCATCTGCAGTCTTTAGACCAGTTATCGAGTCCCCCGACTTAGAATATCCATTCCTCACCGAATCGCCCATTGAGACCATCAAGAGTGGAAGATCGGCCCAGGTGCCATGGTTGGCCAGCTACACCACGCAGAATGGGATCTACAACACTGCGATGCTGCTACAGAAGGATATGAGTGGAAAGGAACTAATTTATGAGCTCAACTCTCGCTGGAATGAGCTAGCTCCGCACTTTTTGTACTACCCCAAGGAAATGAATAAATTGCAGAAAAACATTCACTCTCGCAAGCTAAAGCTGCAGTACCTCGGCTATAGGAACTTCAGCGTCGAAAACTATTTCGATTTGCAGCGCATGTTCACAAATGAACTCTTCAAGAATGGCATCGAGGAGGCTTTGGATGCGCATCGAAAGCATGGAAGCAGTCCTGTATATGCCTATGTCTACGATAATCCAGCTGACAAATCAGTCGGGCATACACTTGCGAAGAGAATGGACATCTTTATGGGTTGAGTATTTATTAATGACTCCGAATATAAGCGTAAGCTAATATTTATAAGTCTATTCACAGGCACAGGCTTGGGCGACGATTACTATATCTTGATGTACCAACCGATGCGTGGAGCGCTGCGAGCTGATGAGAAAGTGGTCTCCTGGAAGCTCGTCAAGATGGTCGAGGAGTTCGCCCAGAGCAGAAAGCTGGCTTATGATGACTGCGTATTCCCAGACAACCGGGGCAAAAAGCAGTTCCAGTTGGTGGTCATCAAGCGCACTCATTGCGAGGTTCAGGAAGCGAGACATTTGCCGGAGACCGTGTCTGACCATTTGCCACCATCTCCAGTAGTAATATTCTAATTCGATGTTTATAAGCCCGAAAATCAATCTGTCAATAAATCAATCAATCAATGAGTCGATGAATTCAAAATCGAGTTTGTATTGTTGTTGCTAAATAAATTATAATGGAAACTCCAAACAAATGTTTGTTCTTTCCTATAACGATATTTAATGCCGATTAAAAGCCACGTGCTGAATATTTAACTATCGTATAATTATAATCGTCAGAGCGATGGGTTTATTAGTCAAATCTGATATCTTAGCAAAGCGAGTCAGATAATATAAATCAATGCGATATATATAACTATTCCACGGTAGGAAAGAGAGTATGATTTAAATTTCTCAAGATCATATCATATGGATGGAGCATCGAAAACTCTTAACTCTAGCAGAAGAGAAACGCTATTAGTTATCTTGCTAGGTACTTGAAGTTTTGAATATGTAAATACTCACATTGACAACACAAGGCCAAAAGTATATATTACATATATCTATGCCCAAAGGGTGGTAAATCAGATAGACCTGAATTATCAAGAGTATATACTATTCGGGTCGACACAGTATATAATGAATATATAGCAAATCAGAAAAAGTTTTTGGTAAATTTGTTCTGCATATAAATTATTAATTTATTTGACATCGATTTGCTAAAGATTTTATGGCTAGTCAAAAGTCTTTCGTAGAGTACTCTGGAATTACATTGCCCCTAAAGGAGAAAAGTCATCATTTTATGAGAATTTTTATCGTTTTATTTTTTGTCAGCTGAATGCAATTGGACCCATCGAAAGTGTTTAAAAGGCCGCAATGTTTGAAGATTCCCAACAAACGCTTTCAGTCAACCAGACTTGCGGTTTGTTTAACTTGTGGTCCCGTGTTGAGTAAACCATGAAATATACACTATTTCTGATCGCCTGCCTGTGCACAACAGCCGCACTTGGTGATGACCTTTTGGTGCAGTTGCCGTTCGGGACACTGCGTGGACGCGACCGCGGAACCTATTACACCTACGAGTCGATCCCGTTCGCCCTGCCACCAGTTGGACCGCTGCGCTTCGAGCCGCCTCAGCCCTTTGTTGGCGAATGGCGTGAGACCTTCGATGCTTCAAAGCCAGCGGCGGAGTGCTTGCAGTGGAGTCATTTCGTGACGACGCCCGATCAGCTGACGGGCAGCGAGGACTGCCTGACCATCAGCATTTACAAGCCGAAGAATGCCTCGCGCCTCAGCTTTCCGGTAGTCGCAAACATATTTGGCGGCGCTTGGTCGTTCGGCGGGACGGTTCAAACCGGAGCCAGGGAGTTCATGGCGAGCGGAAATGTGATCGTTGCGAAGATTAACCATCGAGTGGGCATTCTGGGCTTTGCGAGCACCGGCGACGCCGGCTGGTCGGGCAACTATGCGCTTAAGGATCAGCGTTTGGGCCTCCAGTGGATCAAGAAATACATTTCCTTTTTCGGCGGAGATCCCACAAACATTCTGCTCCTTGGATTTTCGTCGGGAGCTGCCTCAGCTCACTTTCAAATGTTGCACGAGGATATGTCCGACATAAAAGGAGTCTATTCCGCGAGTGGCAACTCACTGGCGCCGTGGGCTCTACAGCCAAGTCCCCGTGAACAGACATATGAGCTGGGGCGGCTCTTTGGCTGTGGCACTCCCCGCAATACAGCAGTTCTGAAAGACTGTTTGAAGGCGGTGAATGCGGTTGATTTAGTAAGAGCCTTTAAGCACTTCCTCATCTTCAACTATGTGCCCTTTGCTCCGTTCTCACCCGCCCTGGAGCCCGAAGATGCGGTTGATCCCTTCATCACCAAGCCGCCCATCGACATCATCAAGAGCGGCAAATTCGCTCAAATTCCCTGGCTAGCAGGCTATTGCCAAGACGAGGGCATCTACAATGCTGCATCACTGCTGGCCAAGATGCCGGAAACGGGCAAGGAGAGGCTCTATGAACTGAACTCGCGCTGGTACGAGCTGGCGCCGTACTTCTTCTCGTACCGCAACACCCTGAACAAACGAGAGAGGGACGCACGCTCCCGAAGACTTAAGCTGCAGTATCTGGGCACTCGCAACTTCACCTTGGAAAGCTATTACGATGTGCAACGCATGTTCAGCAACGAAATGTTCAAGAATAGCGTCGAGCTGGCAGTAGATATTCAGCGAACGTATGGAAAGAGTCCAGTCTACACCTACATCTACGACAATCCGGCTACTCAATCGATTGGTGAACTCATAGCAGGGCGCACTGATTTAATCCTAGGTACTTTTTAATTCCTAGTCAACTGCAGCAACTAATTTCAATCTATCAATCTGCAGGCACGGCTCACGGGGATGATTATTTCCTGATGATGAATAGTCCAATACGCGAACCGCTCCGCCCCGACGAGCAACTTATCTCCTGGAAGCTGGTTAAAATGGTGGAAGGCTTTTTCGAAACAGGTCAGTTCGTCTATGACAACTGCGCCTTCCAGGACAACGTGGGCAAGAAGAAGTTCGATCTGGTAGTTATTCAACGCACGGTATGCAAGAACGTTCAAGCAAACAGCTTGCCCGACGCTGTCTCCGACCATAAGCCCAAAATTCCAATTATACCTACATAATTACAAATTGTAGAGCATTTCATGTATAAATTGGGGATATGCCCCAGGAAACAGTAACTGGTTAGGCTAAAAAATAAAAGCAAGCAAAAAAAAAAAAAAATTGGACTTTGATTTAAAATATTATCAATTAGCAATATCAAGAATTAAGTGGATATATTATAGTAAGCATTCCAAATCAAAAATGCTCTTTAGGCAGAGCATCGAATGGAATCCCATCATGATTGCCCATTGAAAATAAAATATTGATTGCATGTGATTTAAACTGAGAGAGTACTACGAATAAATACGCTGCTTTTTTAACTAAAGTGACTAAAAAAAAAAATAATAATAATAGTAAAATCAATAAATAATAAAAAATAAGTGAATTAGTAAATAAATAATAAATAAATAAATATGTTTATTACAAATAATAAACAATAAAAAAAAATAAAATAAGAAATAAATAAATCAATAATAAAATAAATAAATAAATCACTTCAGCTTCAACAAACAATTAATGAAACTGAAGGGGTCATACTTTATATATTTATTTATTTTATTTATTTATTTATTTTATTTATTTATTTATTTTTATTTCTATTTTATTTTATTTTATTTTTTTTTGATTTCATAATCAGTCAGACGAATGATTGCATGACAAAGCGAAATTTAGATTTTTTCGAATTTATGAATTGCTTAAACACGAGCTTGAATATATTATAAAATAGTTCATATAATAACTAGTATACATACGCAGCAATTCGTTTTATTAATGCATATATTTATCTCGAACTATGCTCAATTAGTTTGTTAGTGTATAAATAGACTGAGCAAACATTACCCTCGATACGTCAATCACAGAGCAATCTTGTTATTCAGTAATGCAATCAACTCTCGCATCGATTCGCCACTCACAGAGCGAGTCTCATGTTTCATATTCATATAGTTTCATTTGTGGTATGCGAGAGAATCAATTGAGAACTAATCTGATTTGCATGCATATAAAGCTCAGCATGCCCAAGGCGAGACTAGTGTGAATCAAGACTCGGTTTGGTAAGAATCATAATGTCGCGCATATGCTCGATCGCTTTCATTTGCCTAGCAGCGGCAGCGACTGCCACAGCTGAAGCTGCTGCCGATCCACTGATAGTCGAGCTGCCCAATGGAAAAGTTCGCGGCCGCGATAACGAAGGCTACTACAGCTACGAGTCGATACCTTATGCGGAGCCACCTGTGGGCGAGCTGCGCTTTGAGGCACCGCAGCCCTATGCTCAGCAGTGGAGCGAAGTGTTTGACGCTACCACGCCTCCCGCCTACTGCATGCAGTGGAATCAGTTTGCCGAGGGCGCAGATAAGTTGGTCGGCATCGAGGACTGTCTAACCATAAGCGTGTACAAGCCAAAGAACTCCAGTCGCTGCTCATTTCCTGTTGTCGTCAACATTCACGGCGGCGCCTTCATGTTCGGTGCACCCGTGGAACATGGCCATGAGCCGATTATGGCCAGCGGAAATCTGATTGTAGTGAAGATCACCTATCGACTGGGTCCAATAGGTTTTCTGAGCACAGGCGACGCTACATTGTCGGGAAACTTTGGACTTAAGGATCAGCGCTTGGCTCTGCGCTGGATCAAGCAAAACATTGCTCGCTTTGGTGGTGAGCCAGAGAATATTCTTGTCCTTGGTCACTCAGCTGGCGGTGCTTCGGTACACCTACAGATGCTGCAGGAGGATTTTAACCAATTGGCAAAGGTAGCTGTGTCATTCAGTGGAAATGCCCTGCATCCCTGGGTGGTGCAACAAGGAGCACGTCGACGCGCCTTCGAAATGGGTCGCATTGTGGGATGCGGCTTGTTAAGCGACTCTGTGGAGTTGAAAAAGTGTCTACAGTCCAAGGATGCCTCGGAGATAGTCAGAGCTGTGCGTCAGTTCCTCGTCTTTGACTATGTACCGTTTGCTCCATTTGCACCGGTGGTGGAGAGCGAAGATGCACCTGAGCCCTTCATTACTCAGCATCCCATTGATATAATCAAGAGTGGAAAGTTCGCCCAAGTGCCTTGGCTGACCACCTACACCCAGGAAGATGGCACCTACAACGCTGCTCTCTTAATGGCCAAGCAACTCAACGGCGCCGAGTTCATTGAGGAGCTCAACAGTCGCTGGTACGAGCTGGCGCCCCACTTCCTGTTCTATCGCGACTCTAAGAAGACCATTGACGACATGGACGACTACTCCCGCGATCTGCGACAGCAGTACCTGGGCAACCGCAACTTCAGCGTGGAGAGCTACCTGGACGTGCAGCGCATTTTCACAGATATACTGTTCAGGAACGACACCCTACGATCCATAGATCTGCATCGCAGGCATGGCAAGAGTCCCGTTTATGGCTACGTCTACGATAATCCGACATCTCGGGGCAGTGCTCAAGTTTTGGCCCAACGGGATGACACTTATTTTGGTATAACCTACTTTATTGATTACTTATGGACCATGTGTTTAATGATCTCAATTTGTATGTCTATAGGCACAGGACATGGCGATGATTATGCTCTGATATTTGAGAAGGCAATCACTCAACCCCGCGCTGACGAGAAGATCATCTCCAAGAACTTCATACGCCTGCTGGAAGACTTTGCTCAAAGCGACAGCGGCTCCTTGACGTATGACAATTGTGTATTTCCCAATAATATTGAGCAGGAGCAGCTGCAATTTATTTTAATTAAGAGCAACAGTTGTGAAATTTTAAAACTAGATCCAATTAGCTAATGAAGCAATATTTTGTAAAGCAAAGTTAGGAAATTTATTACTGCTGTTTATTGAAAGGGTATTTTAAATTCTGCTTGAGGTTTAACTAAGGCAAAGAGATTTTTGCGCAATTATATAGAAAGTAAAATAACTATTATAATTCAAATTTCCGCTCATACATGCTTTTTGATTGATACTCAGAATGAATAAAATTTTTGTCGAGCTTTATTGAAGATTTTCAATAAATTATAATTTGAACAGCAAACATCACACGATTTCAAATGCGGATCACTGGCCTTGATCACCTCTGTTGATAAACAATTATATAGATAATAGCCGAGAGTTGTGAATGAGAATGAGCTGCACGACTGCAATGAACTTACTAATTTACTGACTATATGCCTTCTATAAGTTAAGTTCAGAGTGTGACTAATTTGACCACAAATTTGTCGTTGGTCATGTGGAAATGCAGTCTATAAAAGAAGGCGCATTTCCCGACCAACTAATAGTTCGCTTCGATATTTGGTTTAGTGCAAATCATGAACCGTATAGAATACCTCCTCGTTTCACTGCTGATCGGCTCAGTTGCCACAGTCGCCACAGATCCATTGCTGGTAGAGCTGCCCAACGGAAAACTACGTGGACGCGACAACGAGGGATATTACAGCTACGAATCGATACCCTATGCGGAGCCACCTCTTGGCGAGCTACGATTCGAGCCACCTCAGCCCTACGCTCGCCGATGGGACAGCGAATTTAATGCAACCACGCCTCCCGCCTTCTGCATGCAGTGGAATCAGTTTGCCGAGGGCGCAGATAAGCTGATGGGCATCGAGGACTGCCTAACTGTAAGCGTGTATAGGCCAAAGAACTCGAATCGTAGCTCATTTCCGGTTGTAGCGAATATTCATGGCGGCATCTTCATGTTTGGTGCACCCGTGGAGCAGCGTCATGAGCCGATTATGGCCAGAGGCAATATGATTGTGGTGACGATTGCATATCGACTAGGTCCGATAGGTTTTCTGAGCACAGGCGACGCTACATTGTCGGGAAACTTTGGACTTAAGGATCAGCGCTTGGCTCTGCGCTGGATCAAGCAAAACATTGCTCGCTTTGATGGTGAGCCAGAGAATATTCTTGTCCTTGGTCACTCAGCTGGCGGTGCTTCGGTACACCTGCAGATGCTGCAGGAGGATTTCAGCCAATTGGCAAAGGTGGCTGTGTCACTCAGTGGAAATGCCCTGGATCCCTGGGTGGTGCAACAAGGAGCACGTCGACGCGCCCTCGAAATGGGTCGCATTGTGGGTTGCGGCTTGTTAAGCGACTCTGTGGAGTTGAAAAGGTGTCTACAGTCCAAGGATGCCTCGGAGATAGTCAGAGCTGTGAGTCGGTTCTTCGTCGTCGACTATGTGCCGATTAATCCATTTGGGCCGGTAGTAGAGCCAGTCGATGCTCCAGACCCTTTTCTCACTCAGTATCCCAGTGACATCATAAAGAGTGGAAGCTTTTCACAAGTTCCGTGGCTCGTTTCCCATACAACGGAGGATGGTGGATACAACGCAGCTGCTCTCCTGATTAAGCAGCCCGATGGAAGGGAGTTGATCTACCATCTCAATAATCGCTGGTACGAATTAGCGCCCCACCTCCTCTTCTATCGCAACTCTGCGAAATCAGTTGATGAAATGGATGACTACTCCCGCGATCTGAGACAGCAGTACCTGGGCAATCGGAAATTCAGCGAGGAGAACTACCTGCATGTACAGCGATTATTCTCAGATTTGTTCTACATAAACGAAACTCTACGAACCATAGATCTGCAGCGGAAACATAGAGGAAGTCCCATTTACTACTACGTCTACGATAATCCATCTGAAAAAGGCATTGGACAAGAAATGTCCAACCGGGATGATATTTATTTTGGTAAGACTCGAATGGATTTCGAGGTATATGTATTTGCTATGCCGTGACTAATGTACAACTATTTACGTATAGGCACAGTACATAAGGATGATTACGCTCTGATGTTCGACAAGAAAACTAGTGAAGACCGACCTGACGAGAAGATCATTTCCACTAAGTTTCTAAGCATGCTGGAGGGCTTTGTCTACAGTGATACTGGTGCTTTGACTTATGACAATTGCGTGTTTCCCAACAATATTGGCCAGAAGCAGCTGCACTATATTTTAATAAGGAGCAACGGCTGCGAGGCTCTAGAAATAGCTCCGATATAGGCAATTATATAATAACTATAACTATAATTATAAAATAAATTAATTCTAAAATACCACATCCTACTGCTGCGAGCTACACCTGTTTCAATGGTCAAGAAATTAGTTTTTAATTGTTAGTTTATTTCATTTATTCATATGAATACGAATGTGATGAGTGCTACATCAAACAAACATTTCTTCGCTTATTCCGATGATTATATTCTCTCACTAAGCTGATCTCGATCTGAGCAAAATCTAATCTGAACTAATTTAATAATGATGTTTGAGCGCATTGTTCAAAGTGATTAAGCAGCGCTGACCTATGATAATTGAAAGCTCTGAGGTAACGTGGTTAGAGATAGAGAGCTTCAGCTGCTTCACATACCCCCAAAAATAAATTATAAATAAAAAAAAATTAAAATACAAGTAAATAATTTAAATTATACGTATTCTATACTACATATATAAATTAAAAAATAATAAAAATTAGCAATTTAAATTCTATATGTATATACAATATTTTATATATATTGTATGTATGTTGTTTGTCGATGAGATGCAAATATTTATTTGCTGTTTAAGAGAAAACCAGTTCTGTTTAATATTTAAAATAATATTTATTATCAGCACTTAAAATGTTAACAGTCCACATAATTAGGGGCTATCAACGGAGCGGGAATCAAAATAAAACAAACGCAGCTGAGCTCCGCTTGGCACAGTGCACATTCAGTGTTGACAGAGTAAAGGTCATGAAAGATAACGGCATACGAATTTTCTTGGTCTGGCTCTGTGTAGCAGCGGCAGCCGTTGCCGATCCACTTTTAGTCGAGCTGCCCAATGGGCAGCTACGTGGACGCGATAACAAAGGATATTACAGCTACGAGTCGATACCCTATGCGGAGCCACCTGTCGGGGAGCTTCGTTTCGAGGCACCGCAGCGCTACGCCCAGCAATGGAAGGAAACGTTCGATGCCACTCAGCCCCCTGTCGAGTGCATGCAGTGGAACCAGTACACCGACCAGGAGAACAAACTGACGGGCGTCGAGGACTGTCTGACAGTCAGCGTGTATAGGCCAAAGAACAGCAGTCGCAGCTCATTTCCTGTTGTCGTCAACATTCACGGCGGCGCCTTCATGTTCGGCGGTGCAGCTGGGAACGGCCACGAGGCATTCATGGCCAGCGGAAACGTGATTGTGGTGAAGATCACCTATCGTTTGGGCCCTCTGGGCTTCATCAGCAGCGGCGACAGCGCTCTGCCAGGCAACTTTGGCTTGAAGGACCAGCGGCTGGCATTGCAGTGGATCAGGGACAACATTGCGCGCTTTGGTGGGGAGCCGGAAAATATTCTCGTAGTCGGCTTCTCTGCTGGAGCAGCCTCGTTGCATCTGCACCTACTGCAGAAGGACTTCCAACAGCTCGCAAAGGCGGCCGCCCTAATAAGTGGAACTGCCCTTATGCCGTCCACGGTGCAGCAAGGTGGACGTAGACGGGCCTTTGAAATGGGTCGCATCGTGGGCTGCGGCTTGCTTGAAGACTCGACGGTGCTTAAAAAGTGCCTGAAGTCGAAGCATGCCTCGGAAATTGTGACGGCCGTACGGGACTTCTTGGTATTTGACTACGTGCCCTTCGCTCCATTTGGCCCTGTGGTGGAGCCAGTCGATGCGGCCGAGCCTTTTCTCACTCAACATCCCCTTGACATTATTAAGAGTGGAGACTTTTCGCAAGTTCCCTGGCTCGTCTCACATACCCAAGAGGATGGCGCCTACAATGCAGCCATTTTCCTAGCAAAGCAGCCCAACGGAGAGGAGTTCATCGGGGAGCTCAACAAGCGCTGGTACGAGCTGGCGCCCCACTTATTCTTTTATCGAGACTCTAGCAAGACAATCGAGCAAATGGACGACTACTCCCGCGATCTGCGACAACAGTACCTGGGCAATCGGAACTTCAGCGTGGATAACTACCTGGACATGCAGCGCATATTCACCGATGCCCTGTTCAGGAATGATTCGATACGATCCATAGATCTGCATCGCAAGCACAGCAAGAGCCCCATCTACTACTATGTCTACGACAATCCCGCGGCTCGTGGTAGAGCGAGTCTTCTGGCAAGGCGAGACGATATTGTAGTCGGTAAGCAAACAGTTTGGACTCACTATAGTTGCTCCTTCCTCCTATATATACTTCCTTCTTATAGGCACTGGGCATGGGGATGATTACTTTTTGTTCTTTGACAGTCCCTCGCGACAGCCTCTGCGTGCAGACGAGGAAATTATTTCCAAAAATTTAATTAAAATGTTCGAGGACTTTGTGCAAGGTGACAAAGGGTCTTTGACCTATGACTCTTGCGTCTTTCCAAACAATATTGCCCAGGAGCATGTGGAATTCATTCTAATCAAGCGTAACGGCTGTGAGATTTCAAAAGCTGATTGGATTGCTTGAGTTTTAAATTGATGTATTATAAGCTTAGCTTGATTCTGAAATTTGGCAACTTAAATCAAACATATTAAAGTATTTTAAAGCAATTAATTTAATTGAAGCGTAATATAATTGCTCTTATATCGAATATATCAATCTATAAATTATTATTTATTCCTTTGAATAAAAATGAATAAAGTTCAACTGAACTCAGGTTTATTAAATTTTATTTTATTATTCATTAAAGTGTAATTAGTGGCAAATAAAACTTGATAAAAGATAAACAAAATAAGATGAAGCAATTCACTGAATGTCGCAGAGCACCAACAACAGGTTTTTCTCGAAACGAGTTGAGAGAAAGATTATAACAGCACTCTTTCATGAGCAGGCGGTGGCTGTGGTTACTTAGGCAGTGCCAGAGCTCTGCTGCCTATGGTAATCCGTGCAAGCACCTGAGTGTTGCTTAGTGCCCTTCTTTTCCGTAGAGTTCATCTGGCTTTCCCTCCAGAACGAATGCCACTTTATAGGCCGCACGCATCTCGCTTTAAGCTGCTTTGAAATTTCTGGCTTGTGGTGCGTAGTGATTCACTATGCGAGTTCAGGTTTTCTCAATTTGCCCTTTTTGTCTGTTTGCACCCCGAGCCCATTGAAAATGGAAAATCGGAGTATAATGGTTTTGTGAAAATGTATTTCACTGGCAGGAGGAGGCGTGACAGACCCAAGAAAGTATAGACCCATACATATATTTGTATGTATGTCTATACTTGATCAGAGCGACCAGTCGATATAGTCGTGTCCGTCCGTCCGTCTGTCTGTTCTTATAACATCGATTTTTTCGATATCTCATCCTATTTCGTTTTTATCGATTATAATCGATAACTCGTTTTTTTAGCAATATTTGAAAACCGTTAGAGTTGGAGATTTCAAAGTTACTCTAGAGATTCATATAATGAATACCAAGATATTGTAATTTATAGATTTTGGATACGGGCATGGTATTCGCCAGAAATATGAAGAAAAAAAGTATACCAAATAGTAGATTGAATGTTTGTTCACTAATATATATTTATATAATATATATTTTATAAAAATGCTCATCAAACTCAAACATATGGAGCGGGGTATAAGAACAAAAAAGAAAAGAAAAACTAGAAAACATAAATGGGATGGGGGATTTCCAAAAACTTTGAAAACTGCAAACAAATGGCAAATACTTTCGAACAGAAATGCGCTAGAGAGGACTGTGGTACAAGTTGGAATCTGAAGCGCGTGCCCTGCATATTTTATGATAGTTAATTATGTGCCTGTTGTTGTGTATTTTGCAATTTTGAGATTTATTTAGGGAAATTAGCCAAAAAGCGCAGCTAAGGGACGCAGCAATGCAACAGCTCGGCGTGCGGGGGGAGGGAAGGCTCTTTGCTGGGAAATATGAAAAATAACTTATGCCTTTTATGTGAGAAATATTGAAATATTAGGCAGGCAGGATGAAAGGCGGACAGAGCAGCGGAGACAGCCAAGGGAGCGAACCGGACCCAAAGGATTCATCAGCGGTAACAGCTGTTGACGGCGCACTCGGCACTCGGCACTCGGCGCTGCCAAAAATTTTAGCATTTTGCGATGATGTATCGTTGGCATCATTATAACAGCTGCCGTTCCGGATCCTAACTGGCAGTCCCCAGTCTAACCCGCTGCCCTGGGCTCTCGGTAGTTGGGCTGAATGAAATTTGGATGCGTTTCGCCCGGTCTGGCCTGGCTGGGGCCATTGGACAACGGCTTGTGCGTGCCTTGGGTACTTGTTGTTATATTTATCACAGAAGCGTACTTTATCTTCCCAGCACAGCCGCGCCCCAGACCCGCCCACAAATGGCGTCAGTCAGCAGCTGCTCAAATCACCAAGCCAACAATTTTACATTTTCCAGACTAAATATTCGCATCTTTTATATAACGCACACACACATACATATTAGTACTCACACCTACACACATATACACATATTATATATAAACAAAAAAATTGTTTCGTTATTTATTGAGCCCTTTTTTGCGTGTCGATCTGGAAATTAAACTTGCATTATGGCTCTCAGTTGAGGACTCGGTTGTATGATGATACCATCAGGGAAAGTTTCTCTATATTTCATAATACTTATGTAGAGGCGCAATAAAAGCTTAACAGATGTTTCGGCCTTACAAATTTGATGTTTATGAGGCCAACGAATGTTTTTGCTTGCATTTTTAATGATTTCCCCCTACCCAGCCCTTTTTTCATTTTTCGTCTTCTTTTGATAAATAGTAAAAAAAAACAAGTAAGAAGGCTCCAGTCGAGACTGCTCGACTAGGAGATACCCTGAACCCTCCTCCAAGCTGATATTCTAATCATTCTGGACTTTTTTTATGCACACATACATACACATGCACTTATAAGCACGCGCTCTGCTAGCTGCGCAGTAAGCAGCGGCAGCGCTTATGCTGCGCTGCAATGTGGGCAATATTATGAGAATTTATTTATTAAATAATTTCTTTTGTAGACACACGATCTTAATGAAACTTTTAGAGCGTAATCATATGGTAAAAATGTGTGTACATTCCAAAGCACAAGTCTCTAGTACTTGAAATGCGTTTTTTACAAATTGGGGACGAAGGGGGCGTGGTATCCAAAATCTGTAAATTACAAAATCTGTGTATCCATTAACTCTATATACAACGCAAATTTGAAGTCTCCAGGTTTAAAAGTGTTCAAATTAGGCTGAAAAAACCAAGTCGATTTTTCGATTATTCTCGATAAAAAAGTTATCGGATGAGTTATCGAAAAAATAAAGCAAACTCGTACTGCCTATGGTATACACGAGTATGCATGCCAAATTTCAGCTCTCTAGCTCTTATATCTTCTGAGATCCTTTTGCTCATACGGACGGACGGACAGACGGACAGGGCTATATCGACTCAGCTCGTCGTCCTGATCAAGAATATATATACTTTATGGGGTCTGCGTTGATTCCTTCTGCCTGTTACATACTTTTCACAAAACCATTATACCCTGATTTCCCATTTTCAATGGGTTCAGGGTATAAAAAAACTTTTCGAGCATGTGTAGAAAACGAATCCTTTTCCAACCATCAGCTGCCAGCAGACATTTAATGGCAGTGGTCAAACGAACTTTTCGTAGAACTGAACCTTCCGGGCTCGCATCACGAGCTGGTTTCATCACACACAGCTTTCAAGTCTTTAATAAAGTTATATAAGAGCCAACTCTGTTAACACAGGTGAGGATAGAGGCGTTCCGCTCAAGGATATTGATTGAAATGTAATTTACATGAGCGATAATGAGCTTTCAGCTCTATGTGATGTCATGCCTCAATCGACCTCTCCAGCTGAGCCAACTGTCCCAATGTCAACGAGATATAAATACGGTGCCAAATGCTCAAAACTCTACTCTGTGCATAATTTGATGAAGTGTGTGTGTGTGTGTATGGCAACGGCAAGCCCTTCGAATTCCCCAGTGTGCTTATAATTAATTAACGTGCACAAATGGATTAGCATACGAATGTAGAGCAAATCGATTGCCTAGCGGTTAAATGTATCTATCGAACATAATGAGTCGCCGATTAACTAAATACAATTACCATACATATGTATACGTACATATGTATGAAAACTACATTTCTGCCTATACAACTATTTATATTTTCAAGTAGAGCATTGAGAATTTGATATTTAAATTAAATTATAAATTATAATAAAGAATATCTGCTTTTTATCCTTAACCTCAACTTCATCAGTAATTGTATTATACATATATATCAAATACCCTATAATTTCCACACATTTGCAGCATGTAACCTAAAGTTTCTGTACATATACATGCATAGATATACATGTATATTTATATATAGTCACTCTGATATTCATAAACTAAGCCATGGCATTTATATTTACTGGCAAACTTTTCCTTTCGCCCGGATTTCCTGTCTACTTTATTTGTAGAGAGCAGCAATAAAGAAAGTATTCACAAGAATGCTGCATTTTGTCAAGGACAACGAAAAGAAGAATATGAATTAATATAAAGTCGAGTGAGTCTCTGTCCCGCCTCAGCCCCACCTCTGTCCCACTGACAGCAGACATCGTGATTCTCGAGTGGTTCTGCGTTGATAAACTCACAAAGCGCAAGGGCTCGCTTCGCCCGAGATTGGCTGCCACTGTGTTTGGCGTCCTTGGCGGTCCTTGGCGGTGCTCGGTGTAGCCATCTTTATCCTTTATACAAAATCAAATAAAGTAAATAAAAAATATGTATATAGCGCGCAACAACGACCAAAAAGGAAAACACACAAAATCAACAAAGAGGCTTCGCCCCGTCCTGTGTTCTAGCCTGGCAGGATGCGCAATAAAAGAATGCTTACGATTTATTGATTTCATATTACCAAACACACACACACACACACGCGCGCGTACACACCAGCAGACATATATCTGTCTGTATAGATCAAGGCCTGTGCATAAATTTTATGCCTGAAAGTATGCAACAATCTCTCCGATTTGCAGATGTAGACGTGTGCGTGTATGTGTGTGTGACGTCGAGGTTAATGTCACGATTTCAATTTGTCAGCAACGATTCCCCGCCTCCCGGCCCCCACACACACACAGAACAGCCACGCAGACAGAAAAAACGAAACGAAATCTGGGTCAGTTTTTCGGTTTCACCCAGACCCAGACCCAGAGCGGGTGAGCGGGTATCGCTGGTTGGCCAGGGGGGGACCTGGAACCGACACAACCTCTATTCGTGCTAATGCGCCGGGCAAACACACATAGAGAATTTTTAAATGTCCGCTAATTGATACACAATCGAAACGCTTAACTAGTTCAGTTTCATTTTCCTTATAGATTCGAAACGTTTCAACTAGTTTCGTTTGTTTAGAAGAGCCAAGCTGGAGGGTTGCTGAAGAAGTGAATCTACAAAGATATTACCAATAAGCTTTGTTGTAAATGACCTAAGCGATAGTTGTATGGGAAATATTTTAATTGGAATATTTGTTTCGATTCGATTCGATTTGAATGAAGAACACATAGGAATAATATAAATTGTATGGCACACATTTGTGTAACAAACGGAGCTCATAATTTACGTAATTAAATCATAATTCATCATTTGGGCGACGGCAATTGAATAACTACAAACCATAATTCTGGCATGGATGCCAAAGTCAATAAGCACAGCAAATGATAAGCTACGAATTTGTGCGCCAATGTTTAGACAGTTGTTGGCAACGGGTTTTCCGACACACACACACCCACACACAGCACACATACATGGGAATAATTACGCTAATGTGCAGAGCACACGCAAATACAAAAGATAAATAACAACAGCTTTGAACATATCCCTGAATTAGGCTCTGCTAGGGTAGTCATAGTCACAGCGGCATTTGCTGTTGTTGCTGTTGTTGTTGTTGTTGTTGTTGTTGCTTCTGTTGCTGTCGCTGTTGCTGTCGCTGTCACTGCAACAGTCACTATTTAGATAACGAATGTTGAGCAATTATGCCCGGATTAGGCACAACTGGGTGCAAATATATGAATGGAAGCTGCAATGGTACAGGTCACCTGGGCAGCTGCTGTAGTTGGGATTTGCATAAATCCAGGCACATTTATTCAATAAGCAAAGCCAGTGCACAAGCAGCACGACACTTGACCAATCGGCTTTAAGGCCACTTAATAACCAACATGGAAGACGTTTAAGCGCCGACCCCGCCCACCTGCTCGCCCAGCAGAGGCTGATGGCCCGCAGAGCTGCCATTGATTTCGGTTGCCAGCCAGCCCAGCTCTGACCCCTTTCTCAAAGTTGCTTTAAATCTGCTATGCAAATCGAATACAACTAAATGTAAACACACACACACACACACAAATGTAACTAGTTGTCGAACGTGTATGTCTATGTGAATTTGCCCTCGCTCTCTCTCTCTCTCTCTCTCTCTCTCTCTTTCTCTTTTGCTTAGCATTTTCCAGATTTGCGTTCGAAGGGGTTTCTCCAATACTTTGTCCGTTCGTCTGACTGTTGGAAAACTTTTGCTCGAACGGCTTAACTTTTTTGCACGTGTGCGACTGTTGGGGGCAACAACACGAGCAAGAAGAAGCTGAGACAGACACAAATGTGTAAGAAGCAGCAAAGCAGGCGAATGGCCAGATTGAGTCCATGGCTTACAACATTTGTATGCAAGCACCGGCATCGCTCGGTAAATACACCCAACCATACACAGACACACACCCACACACATACGCTTAGATGTGCAGTAACCCGCTGCGTTTGGCCTGTTTTGCTATTGGCCAAATTCTTTCTTAGCTCACAAAATCCTTTATATTGTTTTCGCATTTCATTCACTTGAATTGCTTTTGCACATTCATCGCATTTCTAGCATGCTCTCGTGTAACATTGTTTTTAATAAATTTTTAAGACAGAGTATGCTAGTTTTAACAGTGAAGAGCTTTCATTTGAATATGAAATACAATCTCATCTGAATGTTGTTTGTTCACCTACATAAATTCATTATCTTGAAAGATATTTCTTAGAAAATATATATACATATGCGAACATATTGCAACTATTTATTTGTCTTCTTCTTTTATTGAAATTCGTCTGTGTTTAACCCATGAATCAGCACAATCAGTCATCAGTGTCACAGTCAACATTGTAAAAGTTATCCTAGTCAAGGTTAGTTTCGGTCTGCCGCCAACAAAAGGCGGATGAGTAATTGAGTACGCGCTCGTTAGGCTGGAACAAAGAGACTCGGAAGCTGCTCAGAAACACAGCTTAAAGTGAACTGGCAGCGGCTAATGAAAAGGAAACCTTGGCCAAGACGAGCTGGGCAGGTAAACAGCTGAACGGTAAATCACCCACATACAGGTAGACAGGTCGCAAAAGGGGCGGCAATAAACAACAGCCCAGAAGAGGGCAGCTAATTGCACGCGCTCGAACCCAGCGCAGACCACGCATCTGCGCAGACGCAACATGTTGGCAGCTGAACATGTTGCGTTTCGCACAGAGTTGGCTGTCGCGCAGCCGCAGCCGATGTTGGCTGCGCGGCCGGTTCGCTGCATTTCTTTGGCTGGGCTGGGGAAAATGGGTCAGGCTATAAAAAGGCAAGTTCAAGGCGATCGCCGTTTCAGACGTCAACAGCAGCCGTAGCAGCAGCAACAACCAAACGCGTAGTGAAATCTCAAAGTAAACGAAAGTTTTGACGAGCAACGAAAAGAAAAGAAAGAAGAAAAGAGATAGAGAAGAAAATAACATTACACTCAAACTCTATTACCGTGGTGCTCAATTGCAGTGCTGCAGGTGAATTGTGCCTCTTCGAACATCGCGTGAGCAATTCAAATCGTGCGTCCCGAAATTTCGAGAGATTGAACGAAGCTGCGTGATCCTTGTGAATATCGTTGTTTTAACTAGCCTCTGCGACACTTACAGCGTCTAATTAACTGTACGCTAGCTGAAGAGATAAACAGAAACGCAGGTGAGCAGCAAATCGCGAATTGCTAAAGTTGACAATCTACATACATATAGGTAAAAGCTTATATGCATCGAAATTATAATAATAATATTTTTATATATTTTTAAAAATATTTTAAATATTTATTTAAATTGTCTTTAGTCAACTTTTTCTGAGACACTTGTGAAACTAAAATGAATTTGCTGAACAACAATTTACCTCTGCACACATTCTCAGCAAATAGATCAACTCCTTATCAGCTTCAGAAATAATTAATTCTTAATTCAAATTGCAGCTTTATGCATACTTAATCAGATCTAATGTCCAATATTATTTTAATCTGATTAATTAAGTCTGCCTTGATAGAAACTCAACACTTGCTCGCAAGCAAAGGAAAAGCCTCGACTGCTTAGATTATGATTTTCCAATTTATATTGAATGACAGTCTAAATTAATTTCATGTTCGATTGGCATTTGACCAATTGATTAAGGTTGAATGCAAATAATCAGCTTTGGCTAGGCTTGATGCCATGGCTGTATATGGAACTGGAAGAAATAACAGCAACTGCCAGACGAATATTTGGGTCAACAAAATAACAGAACCTGAAGCATAAAATTCTTTAAAGTGGCCAGCATGAAGAAGTTTTATTTTGTATAGCGAGTTAACAACTTTGCATGAAAAAGCCAAGGCAAACAAAGCGTACGCAACGGGCTTAAGAAACTGACAGGTAGACGAAGCGAGTAGCACCTGGTCGTGCCAACGGCAGGCATTGGAGCTGGTCACAAGGCGGGGCGGGCAGGAGAGGGATCCATTTGTAGCTGGCGCACGCATTGACAGCCATATGGAAATGTGCAGTGGGGCTAGAGCCAAGCACCGAGCTGCAGTGGCAGCCACTTTTCGGGGCACCCACTGACCCAAATGTGTGGCCAAAGAATTTCAAAGGCCGCACCTTAGCAGCAGCACTATCTGTGTGTGTGTGTGTGTGTATATGTGAACTCATTTTTGTGGCTCTTTTGGCATGCCAATTAACGCCTTGCTTGGGGCTTCGTATTTGATTTGACTTCGATGCTGGATTCAATGATTGTTTTATTCATTATTAATTGCCCACAAAAGGCATAAAGTCTCTCTCTCTCTCTCTCTCTCTCTTTCTCTCGCTCTCTTTCACTAACTAAACATTTCTTGTTGTCGCATGCCTTAACCCATTTTCTAACCACATTGCTTTGCTCAATTTGTCTTACAAATTCCATGACTTTGACTTCCATATATATATATATATATATATATATATATATATATATATATATATATATATGTATATCTATATGTATTTATATATTTGATTTTTTTTTCTTCAGCGTAGCCTAAAGCAAGTCTTTCTGTAACTTTCATTCATGCAAGACATTTGATTGTGGCTTTTGTTGTTGTTATTGTTGTTCGTTTCTTTGGCATTTTGCGGCTTCTACTTTGTCAACATGGTATGTTGTTGTTGTTGTTATCGTTGTTTGTGTTGTTGTTGCCCAGTTGGAGGTGAAAGTTTTTCTTTACGTTGCTCGGAGCGTGTTCAATCGATTTGTTAGTTTAATCCTACGGCAAGTGTTGTTGCCCTTAAATATCATATTCTTTATAAATATGGAAAAAATATTTTCAATAAGCTTTTTAAAAAGGCATGTTAAATTGTCGTTAATAGGATATTGAAGAAAAAAAGTATTTGCCGGAAAAAATAAATAAACAAAATGAATGAAATTTAAAATATATAAAATAAATATAGAAATAAAAAAAAATAAATAAATAAATAAATGAATAAAATGAATGAAATTTAAAATATATAAAATAAATATATAAATAAAAAAAATTAAATAAATTTTAAGTTAACAATATAATATAAACAATATATATAAATAAGTATAATATAAAATATATACATTTAAAATAAAGAAATGAATTAATTATCTTAAACCACAAAATATTAATAATAATTATTTAGTGTGTTTTTTTTGTCTAATGAATAACATCTATTCAAATTCTTTGAGATATTTAATTTATAATTGTTATAAAGTCTTTAATGTTAAATAAAAACTGAGTGATAGCAAGGAATGAATGAGTTGAATATCAATAGAAAATGCATAAAGCTGAGCTCCTACATATGAGAAAAAAATAAATGAATATATATATTTATTTAAAAGTAAATATATAAATTTATACATTTCAATGTACACTGCAATTTATTAATATATTATAATAAATATATTTCTATGTTTAAGGGTCTAAGTCACAAACTTCTTTACTATATATATTGTCATTAAAAATATATATGTATATAAATATAAAAAGAATTTATTTATTTATTGCTTTTATACAATTTCTCTAACATCTAAATTTTAATGCAAGAATTTCATTTATATAAATGTACTTTTAAAAGTTCCGTTTCAAGTGTTTATTCATATTCAATCATCTCTAGCTATTCAATTTTCATGACATTTTCTAATTTCCATTTAAAGTTTAAAAAGTTCCATCTCTGCCAAATGTCTGGTAAATCGTGACAGTTGCAATTTGGGCATCAAGTGCAATATTATTATAATAATAATAGTAGAGCGAGCTGCAATTGGTTCTGCTTTCATGACGCTTAAGTGTTACGTGCCCATTGGGGTCAGGTAAAAGTAAACTTGCTGCAACTGCAGCTGCAGCTGTTGCATGACACATGCAACTTTCCTTTAAACTTGACAAGGCCTAATCTATATGAATATAGTGTTTATATTTATATAGTATATATAGTGTTTATATTTATATATGAAAAATAGATAGCTATGCAAATTAAAACGGCTCTTCGATTATGCCCAGCGGATTGCGTCATTTGTGTGTTGGAAACCCGCTGGCACCTGTTACAAAATAACTCATCAGAAATGTGAACAGAAATGTCACATTTTCCAAATCGCATTGAAATGCGACACAGTGTGCCGTTAGGCCGCGCACGTCGCACTGCGCCATTTGGTCATTCAGCGAAACGAAAGACTTAAGACACGAACTTGCTGGAAAGTTCAGAAAAAGATTTAACTACGAACGGGATTTGCGCCTTCGGCTGACTAACTTTTAGTTTTACGGCTTTAATCGTATTTCTGTTGTGGTCAATAAACCTGAAGGTACTCGAATTCTTGGCCAAAAAGAAAGTGAAACGCCACAAAGCACACGCGAGCGTTTGTATATACAAACTCACATTCGAGTTTCTCTTGGCGCAAAACCAGTCGATGACAGCGCTGTGCTGTTGTTAACCGAAAATGAGCAGCGGCAACAACAAGCGAGAGATAATCTGGCTCTCACAGAATGAATCAGCGTCTAACCGCACACACACATACCTATATAAAAAAAATAAATATATATATAGGCGCAAGTCGAGTCGCAAATCACGAAGAGACTTTCTCAGCTTTGACTTTGGACCACATTGAAAATGAAACGCATATCGAACAGACCGCAGATATTGCAGACAGATCAAATGTTAATTGACCATAGAACCCACCTGAATCAAGTCAGCCAAGTTAACTCCTGCTATTTGGCATTTAACGTGTGCTTCGTTTGCTGCAGCTTTTTTTTTTTTTACACTTTCTAATTTTGTGTGTCCAAGTCCATTCGGCATTGTATTTAAAATGTATAAAAAATCATTTTAATTGCGGTTACTCGACGCAAGTGTGTAAATTATTGTTATTACTGGCTGCACTTGTGTTTGCTGACTTAAATAGAGTAAATGCCTCTTCCATAGCTGCTGTTGTCGCTGGCCGTGAAAGTAAGAGTTGCGTGCCTAACAGTAAAGAGAGTAAAAACTATGAACCATAAACACAGTTAACCACAAAACTCCAATCAAAATTCAATTCAATTTCTCATATGTATTATGATATATCACGTGAAACTCGCCGATGCGTGTAAAATGCTCATTACTGAAGCAAAATAATCTGTCTTATATGATATGGGCATGTTATAACATGATGGGAGGCTTAGAAGACTTAATTGAGAATTGAATGAAATTAGCTAGGAATAATACAATTCTTATATAATTATTATATTTAATTAATTTATTAGCTGTTATTAGTCGCCCATAGATATTTATGCTGCTTAGTAAAAGCATTTTACGTCACAGAAAACTCTCGGCAAATTCATGAGTTGCGATACACACTGATCGATGGCTCACGTTCCGGCAGATAGAGCACAAGAAAGACACGTTCCCATGGAACCCGTTGGCCGTTGCAAAGTGCTGTTGCACGTTCCTAACAGCTTTCTAAATTTACATAGGCGCCATAATTATAAAAGCGATCCACAATGAGTCGAACTGTGTCGCAAGTTGATTAATGATCGCCGGGCAAAACAATTTACATTTCTATGGCAAATCTGATAGCCGTTAGCAGCTGAAGGCACTAACAGCAGCAGAAGAAGAAGAACCGGCCGCTGCTGACCCATTATGTTGGCCTGTTTCTGTTTGTTTGTGAGTGGAACAGGTTGTTGGGCAATTAAATGGAAATCAATGCAATCGCAATCGCATGTGCCAGGCCCCATGGAGAGCGATTGGCATTCTTGCCGGCTCCAGCTGCTCCGCTCGCCGGCTGCACTCTCATTATGATATTTTAACGGTAATATGCTGCATGTCATCTCGCCGTGTGTAAGAACCGCTAGAGCTGAACTGGTTCTACTGGCAGCGGAGAGAACAAAATATATATAAACACACAGATAATTGAGACTGAAAGATTGCACAGCCTCACCTCACACAGCTCAGAAGTCGCAGCTAATTTGCCATTTGAATATTGAGATATGTATAAATGTACGAGCACCTGAGTATGTGTGTGTTTACGTGTGTGTTAACTGGAGTTTCAGGAAGTCTAGCTCTATGACTCTAATTGCATTTTGCCACCTCGCACGGCGGCTTTCTTGCTTTGATATACATACATAAGTATATATGTATGTGTATATAATCAGAGTATATATTTTCTAGTGCACTTGACATCAGCTTTATGTTTTGGCTTTGGTGCTTCGACTTGGTCTTGCCTCGCGCTGCGCAGTCTTGGCCAATTTGGTATGTTTTGGCCGCTTTCTTAGCGGCTCTCTAATATGGCCTCTGCCACTGGGGAACAGGTTCGCTTTGACCGAGACACTGGCATTTTAATTGCGCGCAGTTAGACTTGTTTTGTCTTTTGGCTCGGAAGTGGCTCGCTTTGAGTTTAATTACACTCCACAACAACTTTCATATTTTCTACTTCCATTGAAGCTCGGATTCGGCGTGTGAAGTCATCGTCGGACTTCAGCCTAACAATGGATTCTGTATATAGTTATTATCTAGAACCCAAAATTTTGGGCATTTCGATTGTCTGCCTTGGCAAACGCCTCTCACATTAGCTCTTTTATGTTATATCACCTGGCTAGGGGGCGAATGAGAACACGCATGCAGTCAGCGCATGATTTGGGCCAACTATTTCATGTAACTGCACGTGCACAGCGGCCACTATTTGGTGGATCAATTGTGACTCGATTGCGTTTTGTGGACTCATTTGCATGCCCGAATCGTTCGCGGGTTCAAGCAACCCGCAATGTGAAAGTGTTATGTGGATGTTGCGATTGGGGTCTCGCACAAATTTGAAATGCGCAAAACGAAAGACTGAAGACACAAACTTGATGCGACTGTTTCCTTTTCTATTTCGCACACAGAGCGCCATGTTGAATCAACGCAAGCTACAGGCCTACTTGCTGCTCTGCATAGTGGCTAGCAACTGCCTGCTGCTCACCTTCGCCTTTCCCCAGCAGGAGCTCTACCAGCGACAGCTGGCCCAATCCCAGTCCCAGTCCCAGTCCCAGTCCCAATCGCGGTCGCCAGTCTATCGGCCCGAGAGCAGCGGACGCAAGTATGCCGTGAAGCCGAACGCCTCCAAGAAGGTGGCGCTGGATGACATCGAGGATGATATCGAGGGCAATCAGATACAGGAAACCGTGAGCGGACCCGGTGGCTTCACCTGGTCAAACATGCTGTCCACCGTGATGACCATGTTCTTCAATGGAGCCGCCAATTCGCCGACCAAGTCCGACGATGTAGACAACTCAGTTGGCTTGGGCGGCAGCCCCTGGGCCAATGTCATCTCCATGGGTACGTCTCGCACGCTACACATAAGAGTTGCATGGCTTTATTGATTGCCTCTTCTCTTTCAGGTCTGCGCATCATTAACACGCTCTTGGGCGGCGGCGCGCCCAGCGACGGCATCGACAAGGTCGATAACGGCGGTTCTCCCATGCAGGTAATTGGCCTATTCGTCATACTCTTTAAGCCGTTCTCTTTTGCCATTGTGCCACTTTTTTGGATATGTGTTTTGGCCGCTTTCAGTTTGCTTTATACTTATATTTATACTCATCTGGTGATTGGTCTCTTTCTCTTCTTTTGTATTATTTTTATTTTGTTTTGCATTTTATACTTATTTCCTACTATTCCTCAACCTAAAAACCAATTCGCACAGGGCATCTTGGCGGCTGTGCTGTCGTCCGTGTTGGGCACCAGAGATCCAGATCAAGTCAACTCGATGGCCAAGCAAGCTGGCGAGGTAAACCATTATTGCTTACACACCGAACGCACACGAAAAGCAAGCACTATGCAACAAAACAAAGGCGCACAGATAAATTCAACTATTGCTTGTGGACTTGACTCCGCTGCAAGCAGTTCAAAACAAGCCCCGCCTGCAAGCAGTTTACTCTATTTGCTGCAGCCATTCAAGAAATCAAACAGCTTTTGTCAGCTTATGACTTGCCGTGGAGTTGAAAAATTAAAAAACTTTATTTCTGAATACATACCTAACATTAGCTTTGCTTTGTTGCATAGTGTTGCCAATGTAAATTATAGTACACACATTACACTACACGACATACACACACACATTTACACTGCTATTCATAGATATACATAGTTATTGGCACAAAACTAATTAACTAATGCTTCCCTATTACCTCGCCTCTTACACACACACACAAACATCCACACCTTACCAACACTTTCTACCAACTCTCGACGCTCCCATTCACAGTTCATACAGATCGTTATGAATCTGCTGGACGCACTGAAGACCTCTTTCTCGCACCGCTCGCTCACCGCCCGCTCCCTGGGCAAACGTGACTCGGTGAGCGATGCAGCCGTCGCTGGCATTGCGCTCCTCAAGGGCTACGTTCGCACCTACCGCAACGCGGACGACAAGTGCATGCAGCGCTACATGTGCGATGCCAATACGGACTGCGTGCGTGAAATCGGAGGCAGCAGCATCTTCTGCCAACTGGGATCGTGAGTAGACCTCTTCTCTGTATGCTTAACCAATGACTATATATATCTGTCAATAATTTACTCTGCAGCTATGCCACTAGCTACATGCTTGGCCGCAGCAGCAACACCAGCTTCGAGCACCTGTATGATGCTGGACGCAGAGGGCGTTCCGGCTTCGATTGTCGCCAGCTGTATCTGGAGTGCAATGAGGTCTAAGGCGTGGCGAGTGCTACGAATTGATGGCACAGTGACTGGACGACTTAAAGTAAATTAAACTTATTAAATTAAATTAATTTATGTGCTTACTTGAAACTAGGTCTTAGCTATTTATATTATTTATTTATTTAAATTCTGTATTTATTTAAAATGCTTATGCAATTGCAAAAACAATTTGCGTTTCTCAAAACGCGCCATTTCTCTGTAATCTACTGCGAAACAAAAAATTAAACAACAAAAAAAAAAAACCTTACAAAAAGTTAAGTGTGTATTGATGCGAATTACCTATAATTTTTATATTCTTTAAGCGGTTTAAGTGGGAACGTTTAATATAGCTATTGAAAGCTGCCTGCGTTTCACTGCTTAGTCATATCAAATAGCTATTGTCCGCCAACGACCAGTACTCAATGTTCAAGCAGTGTACTTTCGCTCGTTACTCTACACTGCAAGCAGGAAAAGTCAAGCAGTGTGAAAATTCAAATTTCAGCGGCAGTTACTCCATAAATGCAGAGTGAAATAAATTCTCGAGTTCGTTAAGTAGACTTCAGGCGGTGGTTGCAGATATTTACTATGAATGTAATCCAATTTCTGCACTAGTTGACGGCATACTCGGCTCAAAGTGGAATAGAACGACGCTCTTGGGTGCATTCGGGCAATCTGTAAAAAGTTCGAAAATAACTATGGAAACCGTGAAAGGACTATTTTGGCTAGCACTGTGTGACTGTAGCTGCAACTCGAAACTTTCGCCATTTTGATAAACGTTGACGCACTAAAATTTATTAGGCAGACTGACGACGACGAACCTGAAATAAAATGAAGCTATGCTAATAATAATATGCATATCTACACCTCGACGTTGCACTACGAAAAGCCCAACACATTTTCAATGGCCTAACTATCAGCATCTAGAATGAGCGCAACAGCACGAGAGTTGCTAGGCGTGAGCTACGCGCATTGCATTCCAATTCGGCAGCCACAGCAGCAGCAGCAGCAGCAGCAGCCTCCAAAGTTATGATTAATTTGTGCTAGCCAAGTTTTGCCGTTTACCAAAAAGTTGGCCGTCATTTAAGCTGCTGCTGATGCCGTTGCCGTTGCCGTTGCTGTTGCCGTTGCTATAAGTTATATAAGTTACCAACAACTGCATATCGTGTGGGCCACCAACAGGAGCAGCAGCAGCAGCAGCGGCAGCAACTGGGTAGTAATTAAAAGACGCTGCTGCCGAACGCTTAAAATTCCATTTAATTACGCTGAGTGTTGAATATCTTGAGAGCGCTAATTAGAACTGGAACTGGCTTGCAAAACTTTTCGGACAGCAACTGCAGACAATATCGAGAAGTTGTCGCACAGTCGACGCCCCAATTTATTATTTCAGTCATATCCTATTATGCTGTCCGCCTCGCCAGTGAAACAATCGAATTTAAATAATCATCTAATTTGTGCTGCAGCAAATGGAGCGGCGCATCGCTAAACATTTAATTATTTTCACATTTTTATTTTATTTTTGACAAACTTTAATTGTTTTACGTGCTTTGTTTGAATCTATCTCTAAATGTTGTGCAGTGAAACTAGTTTATGTAATGGCATTATTTGTGTTTGCTAATTTTAATTGATTAAGTGAATAAACAGAGAGAGGGAGAGAGAGAGAAACAGAGAGAGCGATGGAGGTGAGAAACATAAATATGTGATGTTATGTTTTAGAATTCTGCATAATTATTATTCCGAGCTCAGAAAACATTTGTTTCCTTGTTTCCAGAAAATAATCCGATTGGTATTTTAGCATTCCTGCTGAAATAATGAAATGTCATTCAACTATGTATATATGTATAATATGATGGGGCTCCCTTGGAGCAATAACACAATTTGATTCGTCTAAAATAAGAGTTTTTTTTTTATTACAATTACAAAAAAGATAATTACACGTGGTTACTAACCAAAAATAAGAGAATCACCAATTAAATGTTCATGCTCCTATTCTTCATTCAGTTGAATTGAAATTATTCTTCATTCAATTATTACTTAAAATTAAAAATTAAAATTTTATAATATTTGATATAATATAATATTGATTTAATTTCTTATTGAACTTTAATTTGTTAACTATCTCTTGTTATAGTATACTACTTACTGATCTTATTCGATAGGTTATTTGTATTGATCGATATGAGGCACACATATGTATGTATGTAAAGCTCACAAACATATGTATGATCAGTGAACTACATGAACACAACGCTTACATATGTATACAGAATTTCAATAAGGTTACTTGGCTATTTGTTTGACTGTGTTTATGTTAATATATAACAAGATCTGTTACCGAATTCACTTTGTGTTAGCGCTCGACCTACTAATGTCACAGCACTCAATTTATGGTGTCTACTCAGCTCAGAGAAACAGATATATTCAGAATGGAATTGAAGCACAAGTCTGACTGTGCGATGACCCGAAGTTTCATTATTGCAATGGTAACACCGAAATGATGTCGAGGTAAAGCCAAAGCTTGCTATAATATCCTATGACCAGGCACATGAACAAGAAATAGAAACCCTGCCTGCCATTCTGCATCTTAGTTAATAAGCCAAATTCTATTTGAAGTTATTTTCTAAACTTAACTCCCGTTAATTATTAAACACATATATTTTCTACTTATGCCATTTAAATCAATAAGAAACTTTCAGCTGGAATGCAACATTTTGCTTTAAATAAATTTTCGCCTCTTATAATTTATGTGAGAGATTTCAAATTTATTTGCTAAACAGCGCTGGGAGCTATTTGACGGGTTTGCTAAAAAAAAAAACAAAAACAAAAAACAAAAATACAATTATTGACATAGATATACATACATACATACATACACTAAAGCAATGTGACAATTGCCGAGTAAACAAAATCAAAAATTTTGCACTAATCCGCGGCAGCTTAGCTGCAATTGTTGAGCGTATTTGTCAAGCCAGGGCTTTGGAAATATATGTTACGCCCCCTTTTTTTGATTGTTGGCGTGGATAAACTGCTCAAATGGCTGCCACAAGCAGCAGCAACAACAACAACAACAACAACAGCCAGCGCACAAAAGAAGTCCCATTAAAAATGTAATGTTTGCATACAACAATTTCCTGCGGGCAGCAACAAGAGAGGACTCGGTGCATGCAGCACGAGCCGAGAACAGCAAAACAAACAGGAACCCAAATAAACCACAGCGGAACGACGAGCCGTGAGGCTCAGAGCAGCGGGTCGCCGTGCAGGCCGTTAAATCGATACACTAGAAAGCGACACAAAACCAATAACGTGTGACACTGTGCCAAATTTGCTCACGGCTTTTTAGAAGGGGTGGTGGTGTGTGGAAGGGGCAACGCTGAGCGGATGGGTCGCATCCTAGTGGGTCCGCACTATGCCACGAAACCATTATCCAAAAGCCCCCGGGCGGCATGTACGCTTGCACATGTGTATTCCCCTTTGTCTGTGTGTGTGCATGTGTATGTGGGTGTGGAGCATGTCAGTGATTGTCACCATCAGCGTCGGCAGCGAAAAATGCGTCGTTATTGGCTTTTTTGTGACACAATAAAAAGAAAACGAAAAAAAAAGAAGTGGAAGAGGCCAAATCAAAAGGCAGCAGAGCCGCAGCATCCGCGCCAATCCGCATTCGCATCCGCATCCGCATCCACTTTTGATACATCCATGTGTGAAATGCGCAACAAACTCGGATTATTCGTGCTTTTATTACCTTGTTTTGTTTTGTTCTCTCCTTATACATATACATATATTTTACAGATTATGTTGTATTTGTCTGGCAGGCAAAAGACTGAAATTGAATACGATTTAAACATTGTTTGATGTGATTTTTCACTAAAACATCCTTAAGGGTTACTGGTTTGACAAGCGATTAGGCAAATTCAACCAGGATTTAAGACTCTGCCGACTTTTATATACTTCATTCTTATTCTTATTCATATTCTTCTGGAAACGCAGTTTAGCTAAGCGCCAAAAATTCTTTGCATCTTCGACTTTGGACTTTTGCAGTTGAAGCTGATGTGGAATACTTAAGTTGCTTTACTTAATGTCGTATTCATTCAGATGAGCCGCAAAAGAAAAAATTATCCATATAAATATTAAGGTAATAATAATATTATAATCAATAACTAAAGCTATTTTTTTAAAATAATAATTCCCAACTGGGTCTATTTCACACAGTTTTCCCTATAGTTTTTACCACTGTTACCTATGCTGCATTTTCCATAATACATTTCATAGTCCATGCAGAATTCCGGCAACTTTGCAGCTTTGGCAATTTGGTTATTTTCAACTTTCCGAGAGCTACTCGAAATTCATATGAAATTTCTCTGTGTTTGGGTCACGTAAAGCAAATGATGGAGCATTCTTTGGTATATGAAATGTGCGGATTTGCGTATTGAATTATTCAGAAAGGGGGCTTCGGCTCTAAATATTTAATTGAAATGTGAATCCATAGGCAGCCCAGAGCGCGCCATTTGGCAGCCCTCAACACGTGTGCAGCCTGGCTAATGCCTTCGCCATGGACCATGCTTAATCTGCGGCTCCATTTTGCATTTTGACATAATGTTCTTTCTATATTGGAAAGCGAGGCGGGCCACACATACTCCATGTGGCTTGGCTGGCCAAATAACCAAAAGCCATTTGGCCGCTAACTACTTTTCGTGTTGGCCCCAAAAGCCGAGCCGACTCTTGCGAGCGGACCTTATCGGCTGAGGAATGCGCCCGCATAGGCTCATTTTGCTTCGTTTGCTGGGCTATTGGAGGTCCATTGCCGCAGTGCCCACTTCCCGAGATGTGGATGTAAACAAGCTGTCAGAGCGACAGCGACTAACATCCATTTGATTTGCTAACGACGATTGCTCTACTCTCCAGCCGTTGAGTGACTCCTCCAATGGCACGCAGCTAGACCGAGAGAAAAAAGCATTAATTAAGCAGCCCGAAGAACATCTTGTTAACTGACTTTGATTAATGTCTACACGAGAATTGATTAATTAATAGATACCCTTTGCTACTCAACTAGGCAAAGAAATTTTGAAAACATTTCTTTTTTCTCTCTACTTGAATAGAATTGTTGCGTAAGTCAAAATTCCATCTCTATAATTGTTGCTTCATTTTATTTTTTGATCTCCTTGCCAATTTTCAATATACGTGCGTAATAAATTGCTTTGTCTTTGGGGTTTCCCGTGAAATTCCATTCAGTTTTATTTGCTCAACCTTTCGCAATTCCCTTGAAATTCCAATTCAA